TTTTAAGATAATATATTTTTTAATTATAAATTAATGTACAAAAAAATATTATAACAACTTAATGTTATTAAAGGTAAAAAAAAAATAAAATTGAAATTTATTAGATAATTATTAATTAAAAAATGGGACCACAAATTAAAAAATTAAAATGGATAAATTTGTCAATAAAATTAAGAAATTTTAATCCGCTAGCTGTTTGGTACAAAAAGTTACATAAATTAGATTTTTCAATCTGCTAGCGGTTTGGACCCTAACCGCTATTCCCTAATCTCAAACCGCTAAATAAAAATTTTACCAAACACTTTATTTGTAATGGTTTCGAAATATATAAATTTACCAAACACTTATATTTAACAGTTTAGATAAAACCGCTAACCGCTACCCAAAACCGCTGTACCAAATGGGCCCTAAGCATCCTAGATTAGTTGTAAAATGCATTTAATATTTTAAAACAAAAAAAAATATGACATTAATAACTGATAAATTTATTTAATTTATACTTTAAAGATATACTTTTAACATATATCTTTTGTTAAAAGTGTATTAAATATATCTTTTGTCACAAATTTATATTAAAAAGATAAAAATTAATTTTTAATTTATCAATTGTTTAACTAAATATATCCACTTAATAATAATATTAAAATTAATATCAATTTATATATATTTTTATAATAAAAAATTAATCTTACTATTTGCCCTAAGAACACAAATTAAAAAAAGCCATAATTGATTTATAGTCTTGTTTTTGCTGTTTAGTTACAAGTTTATTTCTTTAATGTCACTCTTTTAACGTGATTCGCATGCCACAAAACAAAGAAAAAAAAATATTTAGAAAAAATAAAAAAGAACATTTAGGGCTAGAGTTCCATTGATGAGTTTAATTTTTATATGCATTTATCTACCCCTTTTTTAGCCTAGAATTTAATATTATGGGTCATTTGTAACTTAGTTTCACCTTTATTTATATTAATTTCATTATGTGTAGGTGGAAATTAAGATATGAATTAATTTTGTAATAAGTGATAATTTGCATATGTTATAGTAATTTAACCATATCTTTTTCTCTAGGTATCGGATTGAGATGATTCTTTAGGCGTTGGAAAGCTAAGAGGCAGAGCTACAATTGATGTTTTATGAGCTTAACCCAGTTCTAGCTGTATCAATACAGATTTTTGGTTGAAAATGACGGTTTTGATAATGGACAGAATGCAGAAATAAAGAGAATTGGGCTGTGTTCTAGGTGTGGGCCAACTGCAGTCCAGGCCCAAACCAAAGCCCAATTCCCATGTCTGCTAGGGTTAAGGGGTTCCTAATTTCTGGAGATAGATATATATGCTACTCGGCAGAAACAAAGGAGACACACAGACGGGAGAGAAAAAGTTGTTCTGCGCAAGAGTCAAGAGCAACCAGCCGCCCAAAATCCCAGCCACCCGCCTCTGTTGTTCACCAGCAGCAGAAGAGGACAGCCGCCGCCCAACCTTGCTCTCCACCGCCCAGCCACGCTGCCGCCCAGCCTTCTTGGGAGATCCCGACCACAGCACACCATTCGGCAAACTGCAATACTCCATTGTTTGGGTTTTGTTGTTTCTGATTTCTTTTTACTATGATTTTCTGTTGGGATTTATTTTTCATGGCTGTTGAGAACATAAACACGTGTGGCTAGATTTCTCCGAACTAGGGATGGATGGATTTTAATTTTTGGAGTATGTGACTGTTTTTGTTAGTTTAATTTAAGATTTATTGGTTATTTGCATGATGAGTTTCTATTATTGAACTTAATGCATTGAGAGCTAGATCACCTTTCAATTGATTTAGTGATTTATGCATGAACTTGAGAAAGAATTGTGTAAATTAAACCAATAACAATATAAACCGTGTGCTAGACTATGAGACCGAGAGGTAATTAGCTCACATGTGGTAGTGGAGGAAGAGAAGAGAGTTAGTAGCTCCCCCTTCTTAAGCTAGAGGTTTCCATAGAATTTAATGCTCATTAGTTTGTTTAAAATTACATAGAGATATGATTAATTTAGCAGACAAATGAAGGATTAGCTTGACTTGAGAAAACTGGTTAATTAATTTAGGGAAATCCGCCATCTCATGCAATAACACTATTATTTAAACTTGAATTAAATTAATAAAACAGTTGCATAATTCAGAATTAAATGAAATTCAAACCCTAAGTTCCTTCTCATTCATAGTTTCTTTAACTTAGAAAATTCTTTAGTTTAATTTTCTTTAGTTGACTTAGTTTTCTTTTAAATAGTTTAGCTTCCCCATTAATTGGTTAATTCAACTTAGGATAGATTAATAGGGTCTTGGTACTGTAGGATAGTCCTCGAGGGAACGATATCTTACTCATCTTATACTGCATAATTGATTAGGTTCACTTGCCTAAAAGTAGTGCGTATTTGGTGCATCATCCATCACTTTACTTTTGCGAATTTTCATGGAAAGTGAGAGGCAAAACCCTAAGTTAAACCCTTAAATTAAACTTATTTCAAAATTTTAATTAAATTTATAAATTTTTATTAAAATAAATAAAATTTTGAATTTGATAATTTAGATAACTTAATTTCTTTTCTTGCGGTGGACATAATATTCATTTATGCTTTAATAGTGTGAATAAAATCAATACTTATCATATAAAAAAATAATATGTTAATACTTTATTTATATGAGTGAGGCTTAAATGGATTTAAAATCTATAGTAAAGAAAGAAAGTTAAATTGTCCAAATTACTTAGTTTAGAGGATTATTTATTTCAATAAAAATTTAAAAATTTAATCAAAAATTTTAAGTAATGAAGTGTGGGAGTTTTAACGTAAGATTTTACCAAAATAATAATATTTTTCTTTGATGAAATGTAAATTCATTTATCTAAAGACATTTTCACTCTGGTAAAGACTAAGCCATTACATTTCATAGATTATTATAGCTTCAAACTTTTGGGGAATTGTTTTTTTTTTTTTTAATTTTGTGTATTGTATTTAAATAATGATATTTGTAATGTGTGCACTTATATATTGACTTTATATTTTCATCAAATTATATTATACTATATGTAGT